ATCCATAGGAAAACAGTATCTGCTTGTATCTGGAGTCTGGACTTAGCTATAGTAGTCGACTGTAACTCACTTCATTTTTAACCAATTTTCATAAAATTTGGTTTGTTATAAACATGAGGAAATGGAGATAATAGCTGTTTTTGATATTGATTGGTTTGTTATCTGATGTTGGCGTGTTTTCAGTTCAGCGCCTTTAAATACTGCTACTGCAGTTTCTCTATTTTCAGGCAACATTGCTCTTTCGTCCCCTCTTATCCTATCTCTCTCATTCTCTCAGAAAATAAATTATGTTTCAACAGTTTTATGTGTTTTTTTATGTTTTTGACAATCGGATTTCACATGGATTTCAGTTACGCTGACTTGACAGGTATGCTTTCAAGAGCAAAACTTGGCAGACATGAAAGTGATGGGTCACCAAGTGCAACAGTATTCCCAAGACCCATCTGTGGTATAGCACCAAAGGTAACTTTTGGAGTAATGACCGCATGGACAGTCAGGCTTACAGGTCTTGCCATTTAGAGCTGAGAAACGATCATCAGCAATCCTGCAGCATTGGTCCCAGTTATCATTGTAATCAGTGTAACACCAGGTGTACGTTTCACCATAGAAGCCACAGTTGTGGTTGGAACGGCAGTGGTTCCCTTCGTATCCTTTGCCTATTGGTAGTGGGGTACTGCAGTACTCCCATGAACTGCCTACCCAACACCAGTAGTAGTCATACCCATATGTCCCACAGGTGTGGTCACTGTTACACTTACTTCCACTGACTGTTATTATGGAATACTCAGGAGAGCACAATCTCTCTCTTGATGTTCCATCATAGCAATAATAATCTTTAGCCTCCTCCTTGTACAGGCAAGATGTAGTGCAGCCTGATACCTCCTCTTTAACGAGGCTACAAACGAGCTCTTGCGAATTATCAGCGATGTCTCTTTTTTGAATCCCTATGCTGCTTAGACTCTTAATTGGGCCAGTAAATGGTTGGGACTGAACACAGGTTGACCCAGACACATATTTCATCCTCTCTGTCTCTTTAAACCAAGTTCCCAGGCTGTCAAAGTTTTCACTAATTATCACCTCGGTTACCTTTGGCCTCTTGGAAGGCGGTGGCCCTTCATCGTCATCAAACTGACTCGTGGCTGCATGAAACTTATTCAGAATATCATCAGACATGATCAGTCTATCACTAATGGACAGCTGGATTGTCCTGTAAAGATGCTTGATGATTTTCTGAGTTTCCTGATTGGTAGAAAAACAGTCATCTTTGAAAATTTTTACTTCAGGTGCAGGATAAAGTTTAGACAACTGATTATTAAGTTGTGGTACAGTCTTTACATTTATTCTACCGTCAGGCTGATTTAGCCCTATATACCCAAATGAAAAGGAGCGCTCATCATCATTATCATCCTTATAACAGACAGCTGTCCAGACATGTGTAGGAACAGTGACTCTGTTGAATTCTCTTGCACTGGGACCATCAAATTCCCCTCGTCTTGGTATTCTATAGTCTAGTGAAGGTACAGTTCCTGTTACCAGGTAGGCAGTTCCTGATACAGCATTGTCCTTTAAAATGTCCCTGACATGTTGCTCCCATTGTTTCCAAGGGACACGGTTAAAGCAAGCATCCATAGGTGCACTGTTGGTCAGGGTGAATGTAGCTTTACGCCCATCATCACACTGGAAAGAGTTGGGGTTGAGGTGCCCTCTGTCATAGCCCGTGTTGCTGTAATCACCATTCACAGCTTGATTGGCTTTTAAAATATCGTGATTATCGATTGTCTCTGGTTGCATTGTGTCTTCTCCCAGGTTAGAAAGCTGAATGAAATAAAACAAATATAACAGTAAACAAATAAATAGACTATATTTCTCTTTGTTCACCTGTAATAAATAAATACTCTATTATATTTCCATTGATAAGTTTTTTCTTTAGTATTTCAATGACAGTTAAATGGACTGATTTCCCTTCCAGTTCATATGTGCTATCTGCTACTCTTATTAAATACAAATTTCCTCTTATCTGATACTAAAGTCTTTTTTGCACTTTTCACCTTTTCATTCAACTTACCTCTAACTTAAAAGACATTATATAGTATGATGGAAATGTAGAAGAGTCGACCTGTGCACTGAAATACAACAGCAACTCAGCCACGAAGCGGAAGTCCACGTAAAGTCACAGAGCAGGGTCAACAATTACTAAGGTCCATGGGGTGAAAAGTTTCCAACTATGCTGATTCCATAGCTGAAGAGTTCCAAACTTCCACTGGCACTAATGTAAGAATAAAATCTGTGGGGCGGGAGCTTCATGGAATGGGATTCCACGTCCGAGCAGCTGTTTGCTAGCCTCACATCACCAAGTCCAGTGTCAAGCGTTAGATGGAGTGGTGTAAAGCACAACACCACTGGACTGTGGAGCAGTGGAAACATGTATTATGGAGTGATGAATCACGCTTCTCTCTTTGGCAGTCAGATGTGTAAGTCTGGGTTTGGCGGATGCTGGGAGAACGTTACCTGCCTGACTGCATTGTGCCAACTCTGAAATTTGGTGAAGGAGGAAATCTTAATGCTTCAGCATACCAAGACATTTTGGACAACCCTATGCTTCCAACTTTGTGGACACATTTTGGGGAAGGCCCTTTTCTATTCCAGCATGACTGTGCCCCAGTGCACAAAGCAAGGTACATAAAGACATGGTTGGATGTGTTTGGTTTGGAAGCACTGGACTGGCCTGCACAGAGTTCTGACCTCAACCCCATCAAACACCTTTGGGATGAACTGGAACGGAGATTGCGAGCCAAGCCTTCTTGTCCAACATCAGTGCCTGAACTCACAAATGCTCTAGAGAATGGGCACAATTTCTCACAGAAACACTCCAAAATCTTGTGGAAAGCCTCCAAGAACAGTGGAAGCTGATATAGCTTAAATGGGGAGCCAACTCCATATTAAAGTCTATGTATTTGAATGCAACCATCCACTAACAGGCACCATGATGAAGAGATAATCAGTGTTATTCACTTCACCTGTCAGTGGTCATAATGTTGTGCCTGATCTGTGTATATACTGTATACACTATATGGACTGTATTGGGATGCCTGACCATTACACTAACAGGGACTTTAATAACGGATAAATTAGGCAGCATGTGAACATTTTGCCCTCAAATTTGATGTGCTATAATTAGGAAAAATGGAAACGCGTAAGGATTTGAGCGAGTTTCACAAGGGTCAAATTGTGATGGCTAGACGATTGGGTCAGAGCATCTCCAAAACTGCAGCTGTTATGGGGTCGATGAGCGGACGATCGGGGCAGGACAGGGGTAATGTTGGGATAAGATCTTTATCGTTTTGGAAGCCATTAAGAAAAAAATGCTCTTCTTGTTTTATCCTGTTCATTTTGTGTTTAAATGCTAACAAAAAAAAAAAAACAAAAACATATTTAGGTGTAATTTATATACAGTGTAAGAGCCATATAGATAGTATAGGTTTTGTTGTTTGTTAAATCATGTTATTCCTTAGAATATTAGAAATATTATTGTTCAGTTCATTGTTGTCAAGTGCATTGGTTAATGTAACCACTAGGTGGAAAACACTCACGTAAATGGCACGTAATATATGTACATATGTGTTTTTTTTTCTTGTGAGACGGTCGGGTGTGCACGTAACACAGTTTTCTGACCGACTGCGATTAAAGCTTAATAGATTAGTGGAAGTATGTTGTATTTGTAAATGTTTTCCTTTGCTATATTTATTAGTAAAAGTTTTTTAAAAGAAGATTTTGAGTTGGAGAATTTTTCGTCGCGTCAGACTAGTTGCCAAACACCTGCTCCGTTAGTGGCATAAAGAAAGAGAAGAGGAGTGCCACTTACATACAGTATATAAAATATTACATGTAATGACACATTTTTATAGTCGCATAAAAATTCTCTTTGATCCTCCTTGAAATTAAATGGCCGGGGAACACAAAAAATGCAGAATCTAATAAAACAAAGCTTGTAAAGGTTAAATCTAATTAAAAAAACTGTTTTGCAACTTTGTTTCAAGGAAAATTGAAACCTGTTTTGAAGGCTTCTATGTTTTGATAGGCTGAAAAAATTCTAATCTCTGCAAAAATTATTTCTTATTTGGGTTTTCCTTCTTCAACCTCAGCACTCATTTGTCACTGTTTTCCTGGTGTATTTATTTTGCTTCCAGCTTTGATACATTGTTCATGGTGATCTGAAAACTACTGCTTATATTTTGAGGGGAGAAAGTTGATTATTTTTTAAGTATTATTATTATTATTATTATTAATATTATTAGTATTAAAGTCGCAGAGCGCAATCAATCAGTGACAGGTACAGTACACGTCCAGCAGAAAACTGAGTATATTCTGTGGACACACGGGTGTGCAGCTGGGTCCGCTGAAATAGCCTATACTTGGGCCTTTAGATTTTAACTTTCAGTTCACAATGCTACATAGCGATCACATGATGTTCAAAATTGACCCTCCTTACTCCCCTAAAAAAAGACATCTCACCTGAGGCTCAATGGACCAGTTACCGCTTCTTCGTGCCTCTTGATTTCTGCAGGAGGGATCAAATGTGTAGGCACTGTACACAGGAATCCTGTGGTATGTTGAGTAAAGTGAAGCATAGAAATTCCCTCCATACTCATATTCCTGGCAAATTTTCCTGGCGTTTTGATCCATACCCTGTGGTTCAGTGCCCCTATAAAAAAACTCCGTGCACTCGTGAAAATTAGCAACAACTTTTGCCCAAACAGGCACTTCTGCCAGGACAGTGAAGATGAACAGAGCCAAAATGATCATGGTGTAAAGTTCTGGAGGCAGTCAGCTTCTGTGAATTCTTTTCATATAACCAAGGTCAAGGATAAAAAGAAAAGGTTCCTCTTTTTAGCAAGAAACTAAACAACGCCAATGTCGCATTACCATTACTAACTGTCACGCACTCAAGTTTCGCTCAGACATGCATTTTGAGCCATGCATTAGTGGCTCAACAGGTTAAATCTCTTATGATTGTTTCAAGGGAATTTCTTAGTTTCTTTCCTATGATCTCTGATGACAACACATGCTGATAAGATTACATCACTGTATCACAAAGTTAACCCTCTGGGGTCTAGGGGTAGGAAATACACTTTAACTGATGGGCATGATCACACATTTCTTCAAATATCATAAACTTAATTCATGGCAAATAAATTATTTCTTATATATTTGGTTTTGCCATTACACTCCTCTTTATTTTAATGTATATTGTAAATATGTCAGATTTTTGTTAAGTTTGTAATCTGACATCAAAGTATAGACATTGCAAAATGCAGTTTGGAAAACTTGCAGAAACATAGTAAGCAATGCTGGCAGTTTGTTTTGATCCCAGATACCTGATCAGCAAAGTCTTGGCTACATGAAGATGCAACTGTCACGCGATGAACAGGGAAACAGAGGCGAGGAGACGTAGGATCAGGGAAAATGCGGGGTTTAATGAGCAAAAGGGAACACATATGAGCGGTAAAGCAAAAACAACAATACAATGACCGGACTGGGGAAACAAATGGAAATGCGGACTATATAAAATGGACTAATGACAACAATCAGGAACAGCTGGTAAACATGAGGAATCCACATGGGGTTAATGAGGGGGCGTGACACACGAGAGGAGCGGACGATCGGAGCGTGGCAGCAACATTCATTTGGATAAATAAATAAGAAAAACCTAACTCATGTCACTATTTCTGGCTCCTGTCATTGAATATGTAGCAACTTTCATGTGTATGAAAGAGCCACCCAGTTAGGAAGCATATTTGGGCTGATTCTGGCTGAGTTGTGGCACATTCGGTTCACTGTCGGCAAAGGCAAAATATTGCTGGCCGATTGTGAGCCGAGCATGGCGAGTGATTCTGGCTGACAGTCGGCATTTTTTCGTGTGGCCCAGCACCAGCTTAGCTATACCAGCTTCACAGGTTCACACCTCATACTATCTGTGTTAATTGATTAACAATTATTTATATTGTGTATGTGACTGACTCAC